AAAAAAGGAAGACCCCCAAAGAGATGGATTGGGCAGGTGGCAGCATTGATGGACTCTAGTGTGGCAACAGTAGTGAGGTTGGCCCAGGATCGGACACTGTTTCGTTCTGCTATGCATAGGGTCGCTATGAGTTGGTTCCGACTCGACGGCACCTAATAACAACAACAACATTGGAATCCTTCCTGGTGTGAAACTGTACGATAAGCACTGGGCAGATAACTGCAAAGGCTGGTGGTTCAAACCTACCAGCTGCTCCTCAGAAACCCTATACAGGGTCACTATGAATAGGAACTGACTCAACTGCACTTAACAACAAGAAGATTAAAAACAGCTACAGTTAATGATTCAAAGTACACGGGGGCTTCAAAAGCTTCATGGAAAATGGAATAAAAAGACAATGGAATTTATCCACAAACTTTTGAAGTTCTCAATGAGGGGAAAGAAAAACAAATGTTTTCAGGAAATCTCAGTAAGTACCAAAATGAAAACGTTACTTTACAGCTAAAATTACATTATGATCCTCCTGAATATAAGAAATGAGGGGATGTTTGTGGATGGAATGCTCCTTAGCAGCCATTTTTAAAACCAAACCCCCCTTAAATATGCTTCAGTTTTCTGGATGATGAGTTAATCCAGCAGGTTAGGAAACCTGGTTCTAAATCGCCAGGCGCTTTGATACAAAAGGTTATTGAAAATACCATGGCTTGGGTCAGGCACACCTTAGTCTTCAAGCTGACATCTTTGCTCTAGAACATTTTAAAGAGGTCTTGTCAGAGAGGATGATGTGAAGAGATGGAGTGTCTGAGGAGTTGAGACCCAGAGACGGAAAGGGGCTGTGTGCTGAGGACAGTGGGGTGGGGGGCATGCAAGGTATACCCTTTCGCTGGAGGTTGATGCATGGACGGGATGGTAACTAAGGCAATGAAATGATGTACGATAAATGAATGTAAAACTAATGTTTCCCCATGTAAAATATCACTCAATACACAATAAAACATTTATTTAAATTAAAAAAAAAAAAAAGAATTCTAAAAAGAGATAAATAAATACATAAATAAAGAGGTCTTGTGCAACAAACAGATTTACCTAATGCAATACGTCATTTTGTTTCTAGACAGCTGCTTCCATGAATGTGAATTGTAATGTGCTAGACTGCAAAGCCATTTGAACTGCAAAGTCAGTGGTTCAAGCTCACCAGTCGCTCTTCAGAAACCCTACACAGGGGTCGCTATGGGTCGGAACTGACTCGACGGCACTTAAGAAGAACAACAACAAAGATGATTTAAAGGATACTGGAGGGACTATTCAGGTCATGTGCAAATACTGTGCAATTTGATATAAGGACCACGAGAGCAGAAGATTTTGACATCCATGAGAGTCCTAGAACTAACCCTCCACGAGTATTGGGAGGTTGCTGTGGTTGTTGTGTGCCATTGAGTTGATGTGGACTCACAGGAGTCACCTGTGACAACAAAGAGCTTCCCCACAGGATGTCCTCGCCATCTTTGTCTTCCATCTTAACTGGAGCAGATCCTAGGCTCTTTTTCCCATGGAACCACTGCTCGCTTCTGACCAACTACCTTTCAGTTAGCAGCCAAGAGCTTAACGGCCGTGCCAGACGAGCTCTTCCAGACAGTCTCCTGGCTGTCCTGGTGCCTAGCTGTGGCTCTGCATTGCCTTGCCCTGAGGATGGTCAGCATGTGCACATCTTCTTTGTCTAGTTATTCAGACGCGCTGCTCAATTTTTACTTGAGCAATTTGTTCAAGACAGGGATCTCTCCATTTGAAATTTTGAAGTACAAAACTTTTCACTTTCACAAACCAAGAGGAGTTACTATGAGTCACGTGTCATGAATTTGGGATATCGATATACTCGCTCCCCAATAGCTTGTGGAAATTCATGGAATGCTTACTTTATCGAGCTGTAACAGCCTACCTCATGTCTTTAAGACGTTGTTAAGTGCCGTGTTCCGACTCACAGTGACCCTGTATATGATTTCTGAGGAGCAAGCCTGAACCAACCACCAACCTTGCATTTCAAACCAACCTTGTAGTGCAGTGCTTATCCTATGGCACCACATAGAGATTCATTTTTTAAAAAACTCACATTTCTACATCATTATTGTGGGGTTTAGGTACCATGGAGTTGAGTTCGACTCATAGCAAGACCCCATACGACACTGCAGAATTGCCCGGTTGGGTTTTCTACGCTGCACCCTTTATGGGAGCAGATGTCCAAGTTTTCTCTCCTGTGGGCTGCTGAGTGGGTTCAAACTGCCAACCTTTCAGTTACTAGGCAAGCACTTAACAGCTGCACCACCAGGCCTCCTCTTGTACATCACGGTAGTTTACAAGCAATTTCATACACACACTGACTCAAGTAATTAAGTCTCATAGCAGCCTCAAGAAGGTAGAGTTGTCTAATTTTATAGTTATGAAACTGAGGCTGAGGCTTTATAAAGAATCTAGACTGCTAACAGAAAAAAATTAACGTGATTATGAAAGTATTTAAATATATTTTTACTACCAATTTTCTGGCATTTTTATTATATTATTCTTAAATGAAACAGATGGTGAATTCGGATTTTTAACAATTGCTGTCCTCGTACTTCTTTACCAGAATCCATGACTAATGAAACAGCTCCATCAATTTAGCTCTTTCTAAAACTCACTAATGAATTTGCTAATTAGCATACTGGTTTACCTTTAGGTAATTTGAGTGAATTATTTTATTTCATATTTTTGCTCAAAATGCTGAAGGATTATACATTGTTGCACATGAGGGGTATTATAAATTAAAACTTGCTATTATCTTTGAATCTTGAGCTACAAAGAAACAACTCCTTAAGTCAAGAATCTTAAAAGAGGATCAGGGATCTACCTGGTGTGACGTGTGAAACACTGGAACCAGGAGACAAAGCACAAGTGACTTCCCTTCTCTGTGGACCAGCCAAGAGCCCTGTGGGTTAGACACTGGGCTGCGAACTGAAGGGTCCAGTTTCACAAAGACGCTGTTCTCCATCCTATTTTGGTAAATAGCAACTGAAGTCTTTAAAAAAAAGGCCTTCATGAGTAGCCATCTAAGATACAACTATGGGTCTCTCCCTGTCCAAACAAAGAAGATTGGATACAATTAAATATATGTGGAAACAATTAATCAATGGAACAATCAGTCTGTGTGAACATCAGCCTCCATAAATTCTAAAACCAGAAGAACTTAGTTGGTGCCTGGCTACCACTAACTACCAACTACTCAGGAAGGGATCCCATTAGAAGAGCCAAGGTAGAGTGGAAGAAAAATCTGGAACAAAACTCAAGAGTCATAAAAAAATAAAAAAATAAATGATTGGAACACCTAATAGGGGTTCTAGAAATTGCCCAGTGAAATAGGCTTCTTGTGGACCTTTGCAGTGTATAGGACCTTAGGTGGAATCCTGAGACCCATCCTGAATCTTCTGAGGTGGGACATTCCCATTAGAAAGGACAAGCAGACCAGCCTGAAACAGCTAGAGTGATAGAAGATACATCTTCAAAGAAAGATCATCAGGAAAAACCCAAAACAAAAACAGCAGTATGACTGGCTACTACAAGAATAAGCAAGTTATTCAACGGAAGCCATCAAGGCAAGCAATCAAGTTCCTTCAGTTTCTACAACTGAAACTCAAAGGGAACACATGAGCAGGCATGAAAGCTTGCTGACGACCACACTGGTCTACTGGTGAGTGGAAGAGGGGGAAAGGCAGCAATAAAGTAATAGGCTGAGTTCAACCACCTTCCATGAACTCCCACTGACCTGGAGATAAGAGAGAGAGAAGAGGAAGGGCTAGTTGGTCCAAAGTTTGGTGAGACCTGGGGACACCTGAGCCCATGGACAAGGACATAGCCACAGAGGGCTAGAGCTGAGAGGTGAAGCATCTAGCTGATATGAAATGATGGGAGACGCACAAGAACACCCAAACTTGCAGACAGTACCCATCTGACATAGCCTCGATGGCTTGATAATCAGACCTCTACTAGAGAAAGATTAAAACAAAAATAATTTTTGATAAAGGAAATGAGTATAAATTGCTACAATTTGATGAACTTGACCTACACTCATGGATGTAGTATCTCTAAATACCAACAGAGAGGGAAGGAATCTTCACATCAAGTATCAATGCCATCCCCTCTGTATACAGGGTGGATAGGGATGGGCTACCTAAAATGAGGGGACGATAAAGGCATGAAGTGACTGGCTGACAAGATTTCAAGAGGGAGTTTAATTTAAGAGTGTGTGAGGAAAGATAGAGTCCCCAGTGAATAGTTTTCATCTTGTCTAGACAGGTCAGATAAAAAGAAATGGGGATAAGATTCTCATGATTCAACAGTAATTGTTGTCATGACTAATTGCAACTGTCACAATTGTAAAGGTAGAAGTTTTATAACAAAAACGGGGGAGTAGTTAATCTTACAGTCCAAAAACAGAGGACCCTAGGACCATAAAGAGAGAAGGGCACAAGCGGAATGTGGGACCCTATCCAGAGAAGCAGCAACACCAGAAACAGGGACATGGAGAGAGGGAACAGCTGAGGACTCTAGATTCATGGGAAGAGAGGGACTGAGAACTGGCAGCCAGGAGGCAGACTTGCAGAATGTGCCCTTTGATGGCATAAATTATTATATATGCCTGAGTGTTTTAAAAAAAAAAAAGCGAAAATGAATAGAGAGAAATACTGTTAACTGATGGTACATGGAGGGGATTATAATCATTGTAATGAAACAAAGTGTCTGATTTGATGAATGTAAAACTGATGAGCTGCCCCATAAACTTTCACTCAATCCACAACAAAAACTTAAAAAAAAATACCATGTTTACTAGTCAGACAGAGCCTGGTGATACCCCAAGTCTGTGGTCATCCTTCAGGTCTGGAACTGAACTCACATACACGGCTCAATTTTCAGCCAAATAGGAGGCAGGTCTAGAAGAGGAACAATAAGACTAGGGCAAAATTTTTGGGTTTTTTCAATCTCTATAGGAAGAACAGCCTGCTCAGTCAAGTAACAGTGTTAGAACAGGTTATCCATATAGGAAAATAAAATTGCATCCCTACTTCACATCATACATATGTCCCAGATGACTTAAAGGCCTGCTGAGGAAATACGGCTTCACCTATTAAAATTAAACATTTAAATGATCTTTATGACTTGTGGTGTTTCTATTGTGTTGTTGTTGTTAAGTGTCATCGAGTCCAAGAAGCAACTAGAGAGCTTGAACAACAATGTCGTAGTTAGCAGTCCAATACTTATCCTACAAGCAAACACATCAGGACTCCATTTCTGTTACATTGTTGTTATTGTTAAGTGCTGTTGAGTCAATTCCACCTCATAGTGACCCTGTACAGGGTTTCCGAGGAATAGCTGGTGGATTTGAACCACTGATCTTGTGACTTGCAGTCTAGTGCTGACCTTACAGCACCACATATCTGTTATACAGTGGTCACGAGTCGGGTTGCTAACCTCAAGGTCAGCAGTTTGAAACTGCCAGCTACTCCGTGAGAGAAAGATGTGGTTTTCCTCTCTTCCCATAAAGATTTACAGCCTTGGAAACCCTGTTCAGGGTCACTATGAGTAGGAACAAAATCCATGGCCCACCACCACCACCACCACATAACTAAGACACTGCCTAATACATCTGTTTGAGAGAAAAAAAAATAACCAAATGCACAAACATATTCTAGGCAGGCTGGAAAATAATGAGCTCCGGTAGCATAGCAATTACTAATCTGGATGCTAACCTAAAGGTCAGCAGTTAGAAACTACCAGCCATTCCGAGTAAGAAAGATGAGGTTTTCTGCTCCTCCCATAAAGACTTAAAGCCTCAGAAACCTTTACAGGGAAACCCTTTACAGGTCACTGTAAGTCAGAACCACCTCCACAGCACACCACCATCAGCATCACCAAGGTTGGAAAGGGAGATTAAGTACAAAAACAAAGCTTTAGGTAAACTGGAGAGCAGAGTTGGGCAGAAATCAGGTACAAAATTCTGATGAGCATGTATTTGGTCACCGTGGCCCACCGCTCTTACTCACCTCCAACAGAAGACGCATTTATTTGCACAGGCCAAGCTCGGAGTGGTCTCCATACAGCGATGGCTTTCGATGCCATAAAACGTGTGCTTATAGCAACCTCCTCTCCCTCGGAGCATTGACTGTGGCAAGTCAAACACAGATAATACTTTAAATAAAACCCTCAAAGCACAGGAACAAAAACACCAAGGCATCAGCATCACAAACACGTCTACTGGGATCTGCATGATTCAGAGAATTACATTACAGCATTATAATGTGTTCGTCTTGCTGTTGTTAGGTGTCAAGTCGGTTCCAACTCACAGTGACCCTATGAACAACAGAACAAAACACTGCCCAGTCCTGTGCCATCCTCACAATTGTTGTTATGCTTCAGCCCATTCCTGCTGCCACTGTGCCAATCCATCTCATTGGGGTCTTCCTCTTTTTCACTGATTCTCCACTTGAGCCAGCATCATGTTCTAATTACTATTGGATGTTTGCAGCTGTTTCTCATTTTGAGTTGTGCCCCATCAGCAAATGAAGGTCCCAAAAGCTTTACTCCATTCACAACACCATGGTCAACTCTACTTTGAGAACGAAGGTCTTCCCCAGTCGTACTGTGAGTGCCTTCCAAGCTGATGGGTTCATCTTCCCGCACTCAATCTGACAGTGTTTGCTGTTACTCATGAGGTTTTCAGTGGTTAACCATTCAGCAGTAGTTCACCTCTCCTTCCTAGTCTGTCTTAGTCTGGAAGCTCTGCTGAAACCTGCCCACCATGGGTGACTCTGCTGGGATTAAAAATACTGATAGCATAGCTTCCAGCATCACAGCCACACATAAGCCACTATAGTATGACAAACTGACAAATGAGTATTTTCATAGTATTTTGGATTTTCTAAGGCGGAATGACTTTCTGCTCCCATAAAGATTTGCAGCCTCAGAAACCCTGTTGCAGGGTCACTAGGAGTCAGAACCTACTCTACGGTACTTAGCAACAACAAGGAAATGAGTAGCTCCTTACCTCTAGCTATAGAGAGGACCGCTGATGTTTTATTTTCTACCCCATCTAATTGTCTCATGTAATATTGCTGTTCTTGTTTCTAGGTGCCATGTACTCAATTCCCACCCACAGTGACCCTATGTGCCACAGAACCCGCCCTGCGTCATCCTCAGCACCGTGCCTGTGTTCGAGCCCCTTGTTTGCAGCCACTGTATCACTCCATCTCACCAAGGGTCTTCTTTTTCACTGAGCAAGCAAGATGTGCTTCTTCAGGGACTGGTCTCTCCCGAGAGAGTAGAGGGTCAGTAAGAAAGTGGAAGACCCTCAACGAGACGGAATGACACAGTGGCTGCAACTATGGGATCCATCATATGGGAACAACCATGGTAAGGATGAGACGGGATCAGGTGGTATTTCATTCCGTTGTACGTGGGATCCCCATAGGTCAGAACCAACTCAATGGCACCTGATAACCAACTATGCAAATGAAGGGTTTATGAACTACCGAGGGATTGGTCTGTGTCCCTGCTGGGAGGGGCCATACCTTGAAAGTAACAGGGAACTGTGTATGTATATGTGTACACACACACGTGCAGCCAGCCCCACAGAGGTTTCTGAAGACAGAAAGCAGCAGGAAAAAGCGGAAGGAAGGAGAAGCAGCAGAGAAAGAGGAGGCCAGGAACCTCCTAAAAGAGCTATAACGCGTGTCAAGGGCTGTCAGCAACACTGAAGACAGAGAGGCCCAGAAGGGGCTCAATGGCACAGCTGGTGGCCACAGGCCTGGGTGGTGCCCAGCAACAGAGACAGCTGTGACAGACAGACAGCAAGGCCAAGAGGAGCCTGTCCTCAGGGGCTAAGGGGAGGTCCGTCCTCAGGGGCTGAGAAGAGGCCAGGATGGCCAGTAGTAGCTAAGCACACTGTCCTGCCCTGAAAAAAGGAAGCATTTACCTCGGTATTTCCTGATCCTGTTCCTTACTAAACCACTTAACATCAGGGTGTCCAAGAGCAGTGTGAGACGCTGCAGCCCAAAAGGAGGAGGGCAGTGTGCAGAGGTGGGGTGGTCCAGTGGGCTTGGAGAATGTGACCTCCGCTGCTGCACTTCTCCGTCCACTCGCTGTTTCAGTCTTTCTAGGTGAACTCTGTTGGATTGCAGCCCGCCCCATGCCTTTAGAGATTGCTGGTGCTGTGTATCTCTGAGCAGCTTTGACAGAGGCCATATGAGCTGCAAGCCTAAAACACTTGCTCTCTGGGCTTTCAGAAAAAGCTTGCCAATCCTTGATTTAGACACTTATTTCATTGCCCAGAGCAAACCAAATCCCAAATGGATTAATAAGAAACCACTGAAAAAAACTACACAAAGATAGAAATGACTATTTTCCTAATCTCTAGGTGAGAAAGAACTCTAAATTCTAGGAGGTTAAAATGCAGACCTAGTGTGGTGCTAGGGATTAATGCACTGGACTGCAAGGTCGGTTTGAATCACAAGGTTGGGTTCAAGCTCACCAGCCGCTCCTTGGAAACCCTATACAGGGTCACTATGAGTCAGAACCGACTCAACGGCACTTAACAACAACAAAACATAGAC